TATATATATATATATATATATATATATATATATATATATATATATATATATATATATATACATACACACACATATAATTACATACATATATTGTATATTAAATGAATTATAATTAAAAAAATTAAATATAATTTTTGCATTACAGTAATAAGAATTTAGAAGAAAATATGCCTAATTGTTATTAAAATGCTGTTGCAAAAAAACTTAATGTTTCTACAATTGATTTATTTAGCTTTAAAAAAAAATCGTTCCTTGAAATATGACAAATATCACCTGTCAAATTGTTCAAAGATCTGTTTGAAGTTCACTATGCTTAGTAATAAGAAATTTTATATTTATATTGCATGTAGAACAGAAGGACATGTAAGATTGAGAGAGCAGGAAATTATTATGATTTAATACGAGTATTAATTGTCCAGTGCAATTACTGATTGCAATAACACAAGGGCAGAATACCACAAAAAAACTGAAATCAGTAATCACTGGATAAACACATTTATGATGTCACCTGTGAATCAGACCCGTGTGCCCACTGATAACAGCTGTTCTCCAAACCTGAGGAGAGCTCTGAGAAATCATTGTTTTGTGACAACAGAGGCCCACACTCGCACCTGCAGTTTCTTCAGCTGTGTGGTGAGGGTGACGGCTGTCCTCTTCTTCTCCTCTAGAGCTTCAGCCAGATCAGAGGCCTTCTTCTCCAGAGCTTCCTTTTCTTCTGTGTTCACCTTCCCCTGCAAGTGTAAAGTCTTCCTCTCCAGCATCTGGATCTGAAAGTCCTAGACCAAACAAAAGAACAATACTCGAGTCATCTATCAACTTCCAGAAAACAACCATCCAGCTTGTGTTAACTAGATGATAACTCTTTGTTGACACTGACAGAGACAAGGATCTCTTGCCTGGTTGGAAATGATCATCTGCTGTTTGAGCAAGTTCTGGTCCTGTTTGCTGAGTCTGCTGTCGAGGTTGGAGATAGCGGCCCGGGTGGCGCAGATCTCAGCTGTGGTGTTCTTCTCTTTATCACGCAGTCCCTGCAACTCCTTACTCTTTCTGAACATGAGCTCTCTCTGCCAGAGCAGCTGAGCATCGATCTCCTACACACACAAGCAGTAACAAAAAACTTTGATTACAGTAGAGCAAAATTCACTTACAAATATAATTATAATTTAATTCTCATAAGACCTCAATGTTTACTAAATCACATTGATCAGTCTAGTATTATGCATGAATGCTTTATTAATCCAAATACAAATAAAGTGAACAAATTATAATAACTTTCATAAATAGGTAATTAACAAAATGCTTAACAGATCAATAGATTATGTAAGATGAAATAATAATAATTGTAAAATTATATATGTATCGGCCGATATTGGATAACTGTGCATTTCTCCTATTTTTTAAATTTAGATTACCTTTGCTGTCAAATGTACTGTACTCAAAATGTCACTACTAAATGTAACCTTTAGCAAATCTCTAAATGAATCCATACTGTATATAGT